CCGCAGCGATGAGCCACACAGCACCGCTGCACGCTAATCTGGCCCCTATTGAAAAGATGTCAGCAGTGCACTAAGCCAGGTTCGTGAACAAAAGACATTTGTATAACACCGCACTATCTGGGCTCTGTTTACAAGGCTGCAGGCCTGGCTGAAATATTCAGGCATCAATGAAGGTCACCTGTCAACTTAGAGCAGTGCCTAAAGATTACTCCATGCGGCTATAAACGACTGTTAAATGGAATGATGAATTGTTGAAGGATTTTGAAAACGGAAAAAATGATAGTCATGCCGGCCCAGCATCCTCAACATTGAAAATTGCCCCGGCACGAAGTGGTTAAATGCCATGTCACGTGATACATGGTGACGTCATGATGACGATTTTGTTTTTGGACCCTACCCTGAGGACTGAGTGTGGATCTAGTATGTATTGAGTCCGATGGATTAAAGTGCCGTAATCTTACTGTTGAAAATGTGTACAAAAATATGAGAAAATATTAAATATTTTAAATTCCATAATAAATCAACTGATGATATTATTACATCATGTTTCAGAAAAGAGCTTTGCTATAAGTTTCTTTAAGTGTGTAAAGTTTCAAAGTTATATGACTTTATTTAATAGAATGAAAAAAAAATGAAAAAGAAGTACGTGTAGAAAAACAATGCCTTTCCGCATAGTGCACTATGAGGAAAAGCCAATTAAACTGATACACCTATGCACCAAGTCCAAACACATTGTACAACTTTGTGCAACAGAGAGAGATAATAGACGTTTGAATTCCATTCGAGATCTTCAGGTGAGGAAATATTGCAAAGAATTCAAGACAGCGGTGGAACAACTACTGCTGTGATGTGGGAGATGATGTTTTAACGCTGGAGGGACTCGGCACTTGAGATACATAAACCCGAGGGTGCTATGTAAACCCAATGATGCTATGCATCTCCAAGGGTGTTATCCACTTGCCGCCGGGGACTCCGGTTTCGGGCACCATGTGTTTATAGGCGTGGCCAGGATCTCCAAAATCGGACAAAGGGAACTGGACCTTGTAACAAAAGGCCGTACTTGGAACAAAAAAACCAGGCTGCTGGGCATTACCGACATTTTTTCACTCTCAATAGTGGAGATAACCCAGCCTTGTTTTGAAACAGTATACCACAGTTTGGGGCATTTAGTGCGAATGGATTACCACCACCGCAGCAATGAGCCACACAGCACCGCTGCACGCTAATCTGGTCCCTTTTGAAAAGAGGTCAGCAGTGCACTGTGCCAGGTTCGTGAACAAAAGAAACTTATATAACACCGCACTATCTGGGCTCTTTTTACAAGGCTGCAGGCATGGCTGAAATAATGGGGCATCAATAGATTTTGTCTGTCAGACTAAAGTGGGCACCAGACAGTAATTCATGTGGGTGTAAACTTCCATTTATTGAAATGATGAATATTTGAAGAATTCTGAAAACTGAAAATCTTGAAAAAGTCCCGATTACGTACCCTGCATTTTTCAAACCATCTGGCAGCAAGTGGTTAAAACATAACATTCCACATCATGTACAGCACTCAATTATTGTTAAATGTTGACTACTGAGAATCACTTAAGTGCTGTGGGAATGTTGACACGGTAACTCCACATGTAATTTGACCTTTTGATCCCAAAACAGGCATCACATGTGGACAACATGTTACTGTAACTAAGTTTGCACTCATTTTACTTGGAATGCAAATTAATCTCTTGTATCCATTCCGAATTCCAAATCTGATCAGACGAATATATTAAGAAACATCAAATGTTGTTTTCTACAAATTCTAAAAAAATAAGGTACATGTAATTCCAAAATATCCCACACACAATCAGAAATTTCAGCATCATAAAAATAGATATACATTACAACTACATTGTAAATGGTTTCTACAGGGTGTAGGTGCTGCATTTAACAGTCCAGAGTATGGATTGTTCACGTCTTTCTACAGCAATTCATTTCAGCAACAACCTTTTCCACTAGTTCCACTTGAATCTAATTGATTATCTTCCAGTCGAAAGCTTGAATCTTGTGCTTTTTCGTCTTCATCCGATGCTGGATTTGAACGCTTACTTCCCTTTCTAGCTCCTGCTGTATGACATTGCCAGAGATGTTCAGCTACAGCATGAAACATTCTCTCCACACAACAATCCTCCTTTGCTGATACTTCGAAGACAGAAATGACATCTTTACACTGTTTTCCAATCACCTCTTTGGCATAGGAGACTGTTGTATGATCACAGTCATATTGTAAGGCCTCCAAATCACTTTTGTTACCTATTAGAAATATTTTGTTGGTTGTTGAGTCAGGTGTGTGATAACTCAACTCCTGTTGCCAATAGGGGATTCTTTTCAGTGACACAGAATCTGCTATGTCATACACTAGAAGGGTAGCAGCAGTTTCCCGAAAGTAACTCTCTGTTAAAGACCGTACCCTTTCCATGTTAGCTGTATCCCAAAGATCCAGCTGAAAAGAAAAGATGAAAGAGTTTGCCAGAAACAAAAATATAAGCTTTTGTTCATAAAAGTAAATTGTAATTCCCTAATGCAATAATTTCCAAAAGGACATGTTTTATACATGTATAACATTTACATTCCAGGATATTACATGACCTGCATTTAAAGGTAGTGTACACATAGGTAAAATCCCATAATTGGACTATCCTATTATCCATAATTTCCTCTTTGTTCTAAGAATAGACTTTTTAGATTTCATACACATGTACACTGACATGAAAGTGTGGTCATTAAGTCCAATCACGTGCACACATGCATTATCATATAGGGCTACTCATTTCAGTGTCACAGACACGAGGCAACTGCATTCCCGGATGAAGTTTCTTCATGACTCGGCATTGCTGCAATGTCCAGGAGGCACATTACTCTAAGGTAAATTCACTCATTACTCCTGGCCTTTGAAAATTGCTCCTTTTTAAAGGGAAAGAGAACCTGCCATGCCTGTTTCCCACCCTGACCCCGCCAATGTTGTTTGCTTTAATACTATGAACGCTCTGTAATTCATCGCTTTCACACAAGATAAATTACAAGATCTTCAATGTAATCATTGAAAATGCTGCACTGTTTTTTCTCTATTTTTCACAAAGCAGTTGAGTCAAACATGAAACAAGTCAGTGGAATGTAAGTTGCAGTGAATATTATACACCATAATCAGCCAATCTTGTGAAATTACCACCAAAAAATGGTGTACACTACCTTTAAATATATACAAGTATACAGGAACTGTGGATTTTGTTGTTTTGATGGTGATTGGGAAATTTCAGTTTGACAGATTCAATAACATCTCTTGACAGGGTGGGTTCAATTAATGACGTTATCTTACAGTACAAACATTTTATGAATTTTGGTCTGGGCACCATTTTCAATCGTCACATGCATGGGCAAAAAACCGGGGGGGGGGGAGGGAAGACACGTCCCCCCATGAATTTGGTACGGGGGACACAATGTCGAATGTCCCCTCCATGCTTTAAGCAAAACAAAATAGTAAAGGAATTGACGGATCAAGGATTTTCCCTTTTGAGTTTTTATAAATGGATGTCTCCTACTCTGCTGCCTCCCCATCATTCCCTCCCCTTCCTACTCCACCCCTGCCCATCATTCCCTCCCCTTCCTACTCC